CCTAAAATAACAAAATCATGCATAATTTTGGATTAATTTCACAGTGGTGTCTTACTTGAACTTCAGTAAACACTTTGTTTATGGCGTATTAGTAATTTCAAAAGGCACTCTATATAAACATCCCATATTCATTTTAAACATGCTTTTTTAATCACTTTTGAACCACCAATTTACATGTTATTTCCGGTATTAAAATGAGTTTAATATACCAGTAGCTGCCAATAAATATTTTAGAATCAGCTAGTCGGTATATTTTTAGATTTGCTAACTAGTGTTATTATGATAGCAATTATTTTAAGGTACAGTGAGAATTTATATAAAAAGTATATTCATAATAATGATGCATTGGCTTTATAAAGCCACACACACACACACACACGTGGGTGAAGTGTGCCTAAGGACACAAAAACAGTTTGGCACTTTACAGCTGCAGCCACCCCACTTTGGCAACCTGGTGTTCCCAGATGTCCCCCATAACAGTACTAACCAGGCCCTGACCTGCGGAGCTTCCGAGGTTTAACAGAATCTGGCTTTCGCATTCAAGTATGGCCACAATTATTTCCTGTGACATGCCTGAATGACTATCGTCCTGTGTCCCTCACGTCTGTTCTTATGAAAACTTTTGAGCGGCTTGTGCTGGACTTCATTAAGAGCCAGATCCCTGTGAGCATTGACCCACTCCAGTTTGCTTACAGACAGAACAGGAGTGTGGAGGATGCCATCTCCTTTGCTCTGAACTCGGTCTACAGTCACTTGGACACTAGTAAATCTGTCGCGAGAATGCTTTTCATCGATTATAGCTCTGCTTTTAACTGCCTTGTCCCAGGTAAACTGATTGAAAGGCTCATGTCTCTCGGTTTAAGTGTTGCCATGTGTAAATGGATTTTTAGCTTTTTAACTGACAGATCTCAGAGAGTGAAAATCAATGACTGTTTTTCTGATGTTGTTTCTGTGAGCACTGGTTCTCCTCAGGGATGTATTTTGAGTCCTTTGCTCTTTACTTTGTACACTCACGATTGTGTGTCCTCCTCTGACTCAAACTTGATCATCAAATATGCTGATGACACCACCATCATCGGTCTCATCAGTGACAATGATGAATCCTCTTATAGAGCAGAGATACAAAATGGGGTTCAGTGGAGTAAAACTAACAACCTCCAGTTGAGCGCATCGAAAACATGTGAACTGGTCTACGACTTCAATCGCAATAGTTCTCATTTGCCTGTCGTAATCGACCACTCCCAGGTGCAGATCGTAGAGGAGTGCAAGTTTCTGGGTTTAACCCTCTAGGCGCCACGGTCGACTTAAGTCGACAAGCTGCGCTACTGTTAAAAACGGCCGAGTGTGTCCAACTGAGTGTCAAAATTCATTCATACTCCCTGCCACTAGTTGGCAGACATGTCAGACTACCTCCCTGGCCCCAAAAAACTTCATGCTCCCATACAAAATATTCGAGCAAGACCGCGCAGTGTTGCCAACTTAGCGACTTTTCAGACCCCTATAGCGACTTTTTTTCAAAAAAGCGACTAGCGACAAATCTAGCGACTTTTTCTGGTGTTATTGGCGACTTATCTGGTGTTTTGGCGACTTATCTGGTGTTTTGGAGACTCGTGAAGCACGTATTGTTCTGCTGTCCTCAACGTGAGCCCCTCCCCCGTCCCAAAGCACTACAGGCGGCCAGTCTCACAGTAGCCTTGCGCAGCAGTCCCAGCTACAGTCTATGGGCGGAGCAGAGAGAGAGAGAGGAGACTCAAAAGCACAGGGAGTTTTCAGGCTGCTGCAGACTGAACTCCAGCTCCACCACCACCACACATCCAAAGCTCCCCGGCCACTCCTACCACCGCCACCCCCCACTACCCCCCACTCCATCCGCGGCAGCTCTGTCCGTGACTCCGTTTTCTCTCAGTAGTGGGTCACATTAAATCATTTGTTATGCCAAACTATGAAAAAAAAAAAAAACTTACAAAAATAAACCTAAGTAACTCTGCCAGAGTGTGTCTTTTGGGTCACTTTGCCGGTCCCAAGCCCGGATAAAGGAGGAGGGTTGGTTGTAGAGCTAGCAATTTCACCCTACATAACAATCTTTTGATTACATTTGCTGTTATAACATTTAACAATACAGGACAAAACTGATGTGTGTAATGTGGATCTAGACAAAGCATTAAAATCATTAAATGTTGTTAATGTTGAAATTATTTTTGTACATTTGTAGTTCTAAACATATTTAGGGTGTTTTTACTCACTTTTGTCTCTCCCACGACCTTATTCCTCTCTCCTACAGCGTCCGTTACAGTTATTTGCAAATTGCAAATTATGCAAATTAGGCGATGACGTCATTTAGCGACTTCTAGCGACTTTTGGGACAGCCAATAGCTACTTTCCTTACTGAGGAGTTGGCAACACTGAGACCGCGTTGAACCAGTGCAGAAATCATTGTGAAGCGATGCTGCTGCGGGGCAGCCTGCGAGTGTTATAGCGCACCAAACACTAACTTTAGACACTTTGCACAGGGTCTGCAGTGGGAACAGTGTTTCTCTGAGTAAGGCCAGTCATTGGGAGGTTCGGAGACAGGTTAGATTTGCGGAAAACAAGCCTAGAACTCACGTCGGGGCACCGCGCCGCGACCTCCCGCCTCCGCTGAAGTTTCCGCTAAAGTCTCCGCTAAAAGTGCTTCCCACATATTTATTTTCAAGCCTCACGTAATCACCGGGACAGTAATGTGTTGTAGAAGCCTTGTCTTGTGTGTGTTAGACAAGAGAGAGATCAGGGGAGATGAGAGAGAGAGTGGGGGAGACATCTGCAGCAGCAGGGTCGCGGTGACGCGCTTCACCTGGAGGCGTGCGTCTGGGCAGACTGCTCACAGCAGCACCATGATTTGTATTTTTTACTATTTTCATGAACATTTACAACGTTACAGTGTGTGTTTTGTGTGTGTTCATGTCTTAGTGATCAATATATGTCTGTCAGTTAGAAAAATACAAATATTGTATGAAAATTCTATAATCCACTATTTCTAACGCCAAATGACGTCATAATATGCAAATTAAATGGGGGGATTTATTCTCTACATAAACTTTGGACCATCCTTGATATTTTTCTAATTTACAGAAAGCCTTTAGCTCTTATCACTTTTAAGTTATAGCCTTTTGAAATTAAGATGTCAAAATCGAGCGTTTTGGAAAAAAACCTCTGGCGCTTAAAGGGTTAACTCTAACGACCTGAAATGGGTTAAAAACACTGACCGAGTGGTTAAGAAAGCTCGTCAGCGTCTCTACTTTCCGCGTAAACATAGAGAATTTACCACTAACTCTAAGATTCTGCTTAACTTTTATCGCTGCACCATTGAGAGTTTACTTGTTGGTTCTGTGTCTGTGTGGTTTGGAAACATCACAGATAAAGAAAAGAGATCTTTAAACAAGGTGCTCCGCTCTGCAAAGAGGACCGTGGGCTGTGAGCTTCCTGTTCTGGAGGTTCTTTATAAATCCAGACTTTTAAACAAAGCTCTTAGGATTGTCAATGACTCTTCTGGCCACCCTGGGAAAGCCATGTTCCAGCTTCTTTCCTCTGGCAGAAGATATCACTCTCTGAGATGCAGGACATCTCGTTACGCTAACAGTTTTTAATCCACAAGCTGTTATCAGTGTGAACAGAGCACTTTAATGATTTGCACTTGTTTTGAACTGTTTTAGTCGATCGATTTCACAGTGACATTTGTTTACTGTTTTATTTGTTTTATTTTTGTCTTTTAATGTTGTTTTATGTCTGTATTTGTCTGTGCACACTGGAGACTTTTGCTAATGTATTCCAATGTGGTTTTTTTACTGCAAATGGCAAATAAACCGAATCTGAATGAAACCCTAAGGTAATTTTTTTGTTGGCAGCATCTGTTGAATGTTTCAGACCTCTAGGAATTATAGTTTTCATGCAGTTGCCCTTTTTTATCAATTAGGGCCCTTTGGAGCATAATTTGGCAAAATGTATAGCAATTGTTTATCTTGAATATGAGGATCTCCACCACCAAAGATATTCAATCATATTCTAATACAAAGTAAGTCGTCTCATTATCTCTGTCTACACGCAAATCGAGGCCGGGCTGGTCGTATCACAGCCAACCCCTCTCACCCTGCACATGGACTATTCCAACCACTCCCCTCAGGCAGGAGACTGCGGTCCATCAGGACTAGAACCTCCCGCCACAAGAACAGTTTCTTCCCCTCTGCTGTTGGACTCTTGAACACTTCTTAACCTGTCCCCCCGCCCTTTTTAAAGTCACTTTACTGCCCATCATACGTCACTTTACTTCACTGTACTGCTGTCACCTTACATTGTGTGCACCATGTGCACTTGTATATTGTAAATAGTAACTGTAACTCTATTTTAAATTTAAATGTATTCTTTAGAAGTGTTTTTTATTCTTTATTTTTATTATCTCTTTCTGACTGTTGCACTGAGCCAAAGCAATTTCCAAGTCTGTGACTTCCTGTTACTTACGTGGCAATAAAAATGATTCTGAAATGCATAAACGGAGATTTTTTATATGTTCGTTTATGATGCGTTGTCATGTGGATGACACGTGCAAACAAAGACAAATATCTGCGGTTTAGCAGATACCCAGCTACGTGTGGACGGGGCCTCAGACGGACCGATTGTACAGGAGCACCAACTAACGCGCATGAATTCGGTTCAAACAACAAACCAAAGTGGCACAGTGAACATTAACAAAGAAGCTAATGTGACCACAATGGTCACTCAAATATTAAAATGCAATTAATTAATTACAAAGCCTCTAATTAATTAGATTTTTTTATATCAATTCCCAGCCCTAGTTAAAACTTCAATAAGCGTGGGTGAGTCATTTTGATACGTTTCATTCTGAACATGTTGCAGTCAAAATCAGTTCCACATATTTGTGAAATGAAGCATTCGCTGGTATCGCTGGGAAAAATACTGATGTTCTCGTCAATGTGTTCACACTAAATAATAAGACAGACACTACAAACCTGCTGCTTGTCCTTCTTGTGTATTTTCATCTTCTAGCCCTTCAGAGCATCTGCAAGCACACAAAAAGATTATATCTACAGCATATCATTTAAGGGCTGGGCGAAATGGATGAAAAGATATCTTTATATAATCTAATAATGTATGTAAGTAAGTATGATTCTGTGCCAAATATCTCTATCTTGAACATAATAATAAAGTGGTATCACAATTTTACATTTGGCAAAAAAAGAGGCAAGTGTATTGTGTATTCAAGTGCAAGCAATGGATCTATTATATTATAGTTTTACAAATGCGGCATGATCTGAAGAGACGAATGGAGGATTAAAGCCTAGTGTAGTCGCGCTGAGCTTACGGTGGTGACGTGACGTCACTTTCGCAACTTAAGGATCACTGAAAGACCCTTGCGTAGCCTGCCACGCACTCTTGAGAATTCCTAACTACGCAGCCGGCGCCGCGGAGAAGCTCCACTGTGATTGGTCCGTGTGCGATTACTTTCTGGGAAGCATGGAGCGTAGTGATGCGCGGTTGGCCCCAACCCGCGGTCCCGCGGTTTGGATGCCACAAAAATATATGAGTCGTGTCGGATGCGGGTGGGCCGGGTCAAAAAGCTCCTGATCAGCCTATATATAATATACAGTGCCTTGCGAAAGTATTCGGTCCCCTTGAACCTTTCAACATTTCGCCACATTTCAGGCTTCAAACATAAAGATATAAAAATTAAATTTTTTGTCAAGAATCAAAAACAAGTGGGACACAATCGTGAAGTGGAACAACATTTATTGGATAATTTAAACTTTTTTAACAAATAAAAAACAAATAAAAAGTGGGGCGTGCAATATTATTCGGCCCCCTTGTGCTAATACTTTGTAGCGCCACCTTTTGCTGCAATTAGCTGCAAGTCGCTTGGGGTATGTCTCTTATCAGTTTTGCACATCGAAAGACTGGAATTCTTTCCCATTCTTCCTTGCAAAACAGCTCGAGCTCAGTGAGGTTGGATGGAGAGCGTTTGTGAACAGCAGTCTTCAGCTCTTTCCACAGATTCTCGATTGGATTCAGGTCTGGACTTTGACTTGGCCATTCTAACACCTGGATATGTCTATTTGTGAACCATTCCATTGTAGATTTGGCTTTATGTTTTGGATCATTGTCCTGTTGGAAGATAAATCTCCGTCCCAGTCTCAAGTCTTTTGCAGACTCCAACAGGTTGTCTTCCAGAATGGTCCTGTATTTGGCTCCATCCATCTTAGTAAGTAATCTTTATTTATGTACTGTCATGGACATTTATAAGTTGAATTATTAAAAAAAAGTGTTATATTGATAATTGTATTGAGCATTGTAATAATTAGTATTATATTGAATTGAATGCATCTCCGCGTCACGTGACTGTGCGCTATACTCTCATTGGCTTATATGCCGGCAGTAGCACACACACCCGTAACGCGAGGTTGAAGCTGGGAGGGTGAATTGCTGCAGGTAGGGTTTGTAGAATTCTTTCTAAAATTATTTTAAAACGCTGGATTGGTTTAACATGTGTGGCAATCGGATGCTTAGGAGCCGAGGACTGGGTCCGTGCTACTTCTCAGAGCGAGTAAGGCAGAAGTTCGGGACTAGGCCTTGTCAGATGGCGAGCTAGAGACCTGAACTATTGGAGTCATCATCTCGCTTAACTCCACTGGGCTCTCCACAAGGGGTCCACATTGTCCTCTTGGGACTCAGGAGTCAGCGGAACTTCATCTGCTCTGAGCAGGACGGGTAGGAGGCTCCTGCAGCCGCCTTCTTTAATTTTCATAACCTCAACTCTTCCTCTGGTGCCTCGGTCCGTGGCGACCGCGTCCAACCGTGTTCCGCGCTGTGTGGAATATTTTCGCTCTCAGGGAAATAAGCACTGAATGGACTATTGGAATACCGCTTGAACTTTTGTTGCATTTGTGACTTTTGTTGCATTGGAACTGGACTTTGTATATATCGTATGGCCATTCACTGGGGTTGGGTTGTGGGGTAAATGTTCTCTGTGTCCTTGTCTTATGTGTGTGCAATATATGGTACCAACAAAACCCAAAAGACTGTCTTGTGTATGTTTCACTCACTCCCAGAGCCGATACCCAGCTCTTCTGATCTAGCCAATTGATGTTCTCTTGTTGAAAAAAAAGTCTAGTTAACCCAGGGACCGGTTACATAACGTGGCGAGCTAGCCAGGAGTGAGTGAAAAGAAGCATAACGTATATTGGGGTTTTTTTATTATTGATTGACAATGGATATATTCGAGAAAAGTGGCATTATTATTCCTAATGCAGTTTTAGTGAAGTTTGCAACCCATACTAATAGTGATAATGTAGTTCTGGATTTTCTGAAGCGTTATGGTCCTGTAACTAGAGCAGAAATTGTAGATGAAGTTGGTTCGGCTTTCCATAACTCTATCATGGTAGAGTTTGTTTCAAAGTCTTGTTTAATGCACTTGCGCCCGCTTCTGCCATACACGTTTTCCTGCGGCACTGACTGCGATTTTGAAATAGTTGATTTGTCCACCGCGTGTTCAGAGGAGGTGGGGAAGGTTCAAACTGAAAATTATCTGTCCGAATTGAAAAAAGTTGCGAAATCGACTGGTAAAGACTTTGCGGTTGTTTTACAAGGGGTTATGTCTCTACTCGGTCAAACAGTAACCGGGCTGCATCCACCTGAGGTGAAGTTGGTCATAGATGATGAAGACAACGAGGAGGAACAACACACGCAAGATAGTAGTTCACAATCGGGTTTACCACAGTATGCCTCTACTTCTTCTGCCACTCCACACCGTGCTGTTCCTGCCACCCCGCTGCCTAAATTACAACAGCGGCCTCTGGACAGGCAGTCCACAAGATTCTCACTGCCAGCCATGACGCCAGCCGATCTAAATCCTCCAGAAGTCCAACTGTATGTGGTCGAGCACATAGTCAAAAGTGACGAGAATGCAATGCCCTTCACTTCACAACGTCTCCGCGCTTTCTCCGGTAGAACTCCAAGACCCCAGAATGAATCTGATTATGACACCTGGCGCTCTGGAGCAGAGTTATTAATGAAGGATCCCGCTATGTCCGATCTTCAGCGTTCACGCAAAATCTTCGACAGCCTGTTATCACCCGCGGCTGACGTTGTTAAACATTTGAAACCCGACACCCGCCCTGACGTTTACCTTCACACATTAGATTCCGCCTTTGGTGCAGTTCAAGATGGCGATGAATTATATGCCAAATTCTTAGACACGTTCCAAAATTCAGGGGAGAAGCCGTCCACTTATCTGCAACGGCTACAGGTAGCTCTAAATATGGCTATAAAACGTGGCGGGGTGTTAGGCAATGATAATGACCGACATTTACTCACCCAATTCTGTCGTGGATGTTGGGACAATTCCCTCATTACAGATCTACAACTCAAACAAAGAAAACACCATCCACCATCCTTTGCTGAACTGCTGCTCTTGCTGAGGACGGAGGAAGATGGTGAGGCCGCAAAAACCCTGCGCATGAAGCAACACCTTGGTGTAGTCCGGCCCAGAGCTGCCAACCATGCTCAGTATGCAGTTACGAATGCTGAAGACAAGGGCCAAATTGCTGCTCTCACCAGTGTTACCCAGCAACTGGCCCAGCAGCTCGCTGACATTCAAAAACAGCTTGCAGCCCTGACCGCCTCTCAGTCAAACACAAGGCAGCCAGTCTCAAAGGCCACACCTGGTCAAGTGGGGGAGGGTCAGGGGGCAGGCAAGCAATCAAAGAACCTGTCCTCTGTACCCAAACCCGGGTATTGTTATAGGTGTGGTGAAGATGGTCACATCAGACCAAACTGTGTAAACCAGCCCAATTCTGCGCTGGTCGCAATGAAGAAAAGGCAGTTCAGTGAACGGAACAGAACCTGGCCGCAGTCCAATGGCCCAGATCAACGATCGTTAAACTAGAATCAGTTTCAGTTACGGGGCGAACTGGAACTCTAGTGGACCAAAAATGTCCCACAGTGAACACTATTTCCTGTCAAAGACTGACCCAATCTGTTCCGGTCGAATCACGACTACCCAAGGGCTTAGTTGGATCAAGGTGTACAGCTAGTGTGAAGATTTCAGGTCAAAACGTTAACTGTCTCTTGGATACAGGATCCCAAGTAACAACGATCCCAGTCTCGTTTTACAACTCCTTCTGTGCTGATCAACCTGTAAAGTCCATTTGCGATCTATTGCATGTAGAGGGGGCTGCGGGCCAAGCTGTCCCATATCTTGGATACATTGAGATAACTGTTACATTTCCCTACGACTTCATTGGAGTCGACACTGATGTTGCCACATTAGCTCTGGTCGTTCCCGATGTAGGTCTAAGCTCTCCATCCGCCATGCTTATCGGTATGAACACTCTAGAGCCGTTGTATGTCCAGCATTTGGAGAGTGATGTGTCCAACTTCGAGCCATCCGCACATGGTTACCGTGCTGTCCTTAAGCTATTACAGATGCGACATAGGCAACAAGAGGAAGGAAGTGATGGAGTAGTTCGGTTAGTCAGTAAAACCCCTGTACTGATTCCAGCGGGGCGCACCACTGTGGTGGATGGTACATTCCATTGCAGCATGCCATATCAAGGTCAATGGGCGCTGGTGGAGCACCCAGCTACACCCCTTCCAGGCGGGTTGTGCGTAAAGAACTCTCTGATTACCCTTCCAAGCCAGGCCCATGCAAAGATCCCAGTCATACTTGCCAATGAGACCGATCAGGATGTCACTCTCCAACCTCTCAGTACCCTAGCAGCTCTCGCTATGTGCCCTCATGTTCTATCACACAGTGTGTCTCCAGTAGAGGAGACAACGGAATTCCTCAAGCTGGATTTTGCAGAGTCACCTGTTCCTCCTGAGTGGAAGGAGAGAATCATGCGAAGGCTGAGAGAAGTTCCGGGTGTGTTTTCTAGCCATGATTTGGATTTCGGTCACACAGACAAAATAAGACATCATATCAAACTGAGCGATGACACTCCATTCAAGCACAGACCCAGGCCTGTGCACCCTCAAGATGTCGAAG